TTCTTTTTTTCAGCATGGAATAAACCTATTACTTGTTCCTATATGTACAGTATATCAATAACACCTGATGAAGACTCCACGAGCAAAACGTTGTTTTCTTACTTCTTTTTTTTTCAGGATGGAATAAACCTATTACTTGTTCCTTTGCAGCCTACGCATGCTGACGCAGCTACCCACCTGAACTATATACTGTACAGTAGAATATATACTGTACTCAATTTCTTATTACTGTCCATTTGAATAACAAGAAATGCACTTCCAGAAAAACACGATCCCTCTCAGTTGTGGAACCTCATTGAAACCTGCATGTAGAATTTCATCCAAAGTCACATAGATATTAAACTTAATATTGAAACTTAATTTTAGACAGTACGGTATATGCAGTAGTTTCCCTCTCTCTGTCTCTGTCTGTATAAGATAGCTACTGAATGTTATTCTTTCTCCCTGAGAACAGATAAAACAAGTTGCTGTGTAGCTAATTGATTTAAAAATAATTCACCTAAGCAATTACAGAACATCTTACCGTGAAGTGGACTGGAAGGGCAACATATTGTGTAACCCTAAACTCTGATATTCAATAAGCTGCTACCATGCACATTGAAAAGATTGTTTGAAAACAAACAGATCAATTGCAGAAACATTTTGAAAGTCAGCCAGCTTTGTTATTAATATGCAATTACCTATTACCTCTGCCCAAGCTTGTATCTAATGCATTATCGTGCCTACATCTTGGCCACTTTCCTTCTCATTCACTCCATACACTGGGTTTTTTTCTGAGGTGCAGAAAAGTTGAACCTATGCATTTCGCTTGGTTAATGAATTACAGAACCCCTGTGCAGTTGAGCTCAAGACCTAGCTCATTTATCAAGCACAGTGACCCCTCTGTAATTAAAATGCATTACTGAATAAAAAGAAAAAGCTGTGAGTATGGGAAGCCAGATAAAGACTTGCTGATCCCTGTAGTACAGTAAAAACGTCCCTGTTGACAAAAGGGTGATGGATGGGAAATGTATTCAGGACATTATCTAGGGATCTAAGGAGGGCAGGGAAGAGGAGCAGAGGGGATTGGGTTCAGGGGGGAGAGAGAGGAGTGCGTGTGGGGAAGAGTGCACTTGGGTGACAGCAGTTTCAGTTTCTTTTCCATCGCTCTGTTGTATTTTTCTGATTTCCGGCATCCCTTGTGTAGATTCATCCCCTGCTGCTGCAGGAGAGACGCACCGAGTCCTGCAAAGCAAGGCTACTGCGGCGGACAATCAGCGTGCCAGCGGACAGCCAGTTCCCACAGTACCAGGAAGATCTCACTGAGGAGCATGGTGAGTAGTGACCGATGGACGCGGACTGCCTTCCCTCCCTCTGGGGTGGAGTGAACAGTCCTGATTGTTCTGTACATCGCCCAGTCTATACTACTGTATATGCATACTCCTGCACAGGACTAAATAATCCTTTAGTGTCTTGCTGGGAGTGTTTGCTTCATCAATTTAAACATATAATAAGTGGAAATGTTAAATTAAAACCCATTCCAAACTGATGTTTTCCTTTATTTTAGTTGGATTTTCAGTCTTAGAAATGAGTTATTTTATTAATCTTTTTAAATTGCAAAATTTCTACAGTCTTATATGTACTGTATACTTAAGAATAATTTGATTGCCTTGATTTTATTAAAAAGCCATTTAGAGGCAGCGCTTAGCTCTTTTGATTTTTTTTTCCGTTTGTGATTTTGCATGACACTAAGATGCCAATGAAGAATCTGATGATTGAAACTATTTTGTTAATAGCAAGTGCACGATCTGAACTGTGTTTTTTAGTATTGCAGTTGTTGTGTTGCGGTACTGTATATTTCACTCAATCCGGTTATTTTGAATTTTACGTCTGCGTTCATCAACGTAACCCTCTTGTAGTGGATTCCCTTAAAGGGTGAGGTGGCCTTTGGTTTAAGAAGAGCGGAGCTGTTTGTGGTGGTTCTGGAACTGTGAAGCTGAGGAGGTGATGGAACTGCCTGATGGACAACAAAACTACAGTTTATAGAGTTTAAACAATATAACATGTTATGCTGCCCAAGCAAATCAACTCGAGTACTATAGTTACATGTCCCTGTGTATATTGCCAGTAGGGGGTGAGCTTACCCTTTCCATGTTAGAAATCTCTGACGTTCCCTCAGATTATATATCAGCACTGCCATGCCATCTGCATTTAACAATATTATAGTTTGAAGTGCTGATGTAATAGATTCTTCTGTGAACGGGAGTAATTATTTTTCCCTCTTTTTTTTCAGCATGTGAGTATAGTGAATTTACTGTATGTTTGTGTCCTAAAAACTACAAGAAATTACAGATGTAGAACAAAGAAAAATGTCTGTATCTCACTATGGTTCCATCAAGGCATGGTGGAGCAGTGGTGAGCTTTACCTCGCAGCACGAGGGCCCTGGGTTCAATTCCAGACCTAAGGTGCTATCTGAGTTTATATGTTCTCCGTGTGATTTTGTTTGGATTTAATCAACATGCTCTGGCTTCCTCACAGTCCAAAGACATTTTGATAGGTTATTTGGCTTCTGGGAAAATTGGCCCTAGTTTGAGTTTATGATGTCTCTGTGTGTGGTGTACCCCTGGTGTGTGTGTGCGTGTTTGTCTGTGTGTGCCCTCTGATGGACTGGCATCCCATCCAGGGTATGTTCTTCCTTGTGCCTGTTGCTTGGTGGGATAGATTCTATATTGAATATAGCAGTTAGAAAATGGATGGATGAATGGGTGTTTCCATAATAAAGTTAGCCCCAATATTTAGTTCATTTCCACTTTTAACTTATGGATACTAAAGCATAACTAATGCTTTATGTAATGGACCTATTTTAATGGTGTGTCACTCCTCTAGAGACTGCAATCACAGTAAAGGGGTCTGTATTTATCAAAAAAGATCAGCTCATCCGCAAGAAAGACTCATTTTAGACCAGCGATTCCAAAGTTTCATTAGCAACATATTTTCTAAAAGTAGACTTTTTAAATCATGTTTTAAATAACATAGTAAAAGGAGAATTTGGCCCATTTTCACACGATCAAGGATATTGTTCATTAGTTCGCATCATAAATAACCGATCTCACATGGCTTTGAGGACAGAACTGAGTGAAGGATTTTTTCCACAGAAGATTTGAAAGTAAGCTATCATATGTGTCTCACCCCCAGGTATTTAACAGCGCAAGACTGTTGTGGTTTCAGTTTTTAGCCTTTGAAACCCGCTGTTCAAATTTTGCTTAACCTACAAGTGAAACGAGACCGCGTTCTCAGCCGAGTCCACAGCACGCATTTATCTACCCAGCAAAGTCATGCCATTTGGCAGCCCACTTTGGCAGGTGCCCCAGACTTAATAACAGTATGAGAGGAAGCTGGCATTGAGCCTACTGGCACCAATCCAGTCTGCTGCCAATGTCATTGTCCATCATCTCTGCTTGCTACTGCAATTTGCAGGAGACAGAGTACTGATGAGGAGGACTGTAATTGTCATCACAGTATATGAATTCATACCACTATTATGGGTTCTTTGTTCTGTGTGAAGCATTGTTAAAGTGGTCTGCTTTCTTGTGTGAGGTTGGACAAATTACTGTTCTGTGCATGAGGTATCAGCTGGAATAAGTAATAGCTTGTGACTTTGACACACAGCAGTTGCAGTCATACATCTAATGTTCTCACAGTGCGGTTATGCTGAACTGTTCAGCACATAGTATTGAAATTCCTATACTCTTTTTCACCACAAAGATAAAACTAAATATTTATGATTTTTTTTTCAGTTTACTGTGCTGGTGCTATGGACATGCAGTAATTGATACTTAATGTAGTGAGTAGTCAAACAATAAGGATTTAGCTAAACTTTGTTTAGTAAAAAAACTGTAATGTGATTTTGTGTTATGTTAAGTATTGAGGACAGCACAGTGGAGCTGTGGTTAGCATTGCTGTCTCACAGTGCTGGAACCATTGGTTCAGTTCTGGCCCTAGGGTGCTATCTACATGGAGTTTGTATGTTCTTCCTGTATTAGTGTGAGTTTTTGCAGGTGCTCTGGTTTTCTCTTGGAATCAGAAAATATATTGGTAGATTAATTGACTTCTGGGAAAATTGGCCCTGGTTTGAGTATGTACGTGTTTGTGTCGGTGTGTCTGTCCTGAAGTAGGCCTTTGTCCCATTCAGGCTGTAACCTGCCTTGTTCTCATTGCATGCTGGGATTGGTCGAAACGGTTAGAAGATGGATTATGTAGTGACCCCTTTTTAAGTTACTGTCTGAAATCCTACAGTCTCAATAAAATAAATATAATGTTATTGCAAAGCTGAAATGTAATGAGAAACATGTCTAGGTTAATCTAGGCTGTTCTTTTGCATCTGGTAGGCTGATACATTCTGACTGAAACCTCTAAAGTATAACAAGATATGAGTGTAAACAACAGCTAACACAGTACCTAGCTGTTACCTAATTGAAACAGTTTATTTTTAACATGTCATTTGCGTTATTGTTTTACTCAGAAGTTATTTCCTTGCTGAATATTTTGTCTTCCCTTTTTCGATAAAAATAGCAGTATTGCCAAAAGACAGGAAGTGGTATGATTGACAGTTTGGGGAATAGTATTATTACTGGATATTTTACATTGTGTTATTTAAGTTTAGCTAATTAGTTCTGTACCCAGTGCTTAATTATATCTATGATACTGTGCTTTGAAGTACTTGCTAAAAAAAAAGTAGTTTGTAGAAATATTTACCATCTACCATAGATTGTGCGTGCTGAAACAGAAGTTAAGTGGAGCTGCACAATGCTTTAAATGCAACTGAATCCAGACTGTAGTCTAGTGAAGTCTAGGAAAGCAGGAAGGAGAACTAGCCAATATATAATGTTTAGCTGAGTGGACAGGGGTGACTGGTGTGAAGCATCTTGCTCGGTGGTATATCAGCACTATTCTCAGCAGGAACACGAAATTTCAACTCAATAGATTCAGAGTCCTTACCATTTCCTGAATGCGAAAAAAACTGTAATAAATGTGTAATAAACCCTTATGTAATGAAAGCATGTTCTTATCCTTCATGTTTCAACACCAGATTGTCGGTTTGCACACGTTGGTTTCATCATGAACGAAACAGCTGCCGATATTCATCAGATGAACACATTCTTTAGCTTGATACAAGCCTGTTATAGACATTGACAGCTACTGGACACCATCTTCGTCTCTTCTTGTGATATCGTCATTGTTTGGTGGATGTACAGGTATTCTGGCTGGAGACACCTCAACTGTCTTTCTGCCTAAACAAACGCCCTGCAGTTCCGCTTATTTGTAATCGCGTTGTCATGAAATTTCACGAGGGTGTGTTTAGGTTTTAAAGCAAGTTTTCTCTTTGGTTACATTTGGTGTTACAGTATGTAATTTTAAGATTCCTGTCACTGGAGTCTTTAAGCATGAAGCATTCAGTAACAGGATTTACAGTAATTGTGCAGGCTACCCATAAGTAGTCTATTTTCTTCATTCCATTTTCTGTAAGCAGCAAGGGGCATGTAGTATCTAGTGAAGCAATCCTAACATTGCACGGATCATAGATGAATACCTCATTTTTCTTTCTGTTACGGAAGTTCAGAATCATCAGAAAGGCTGCAAATTGGATAATGGCTTTCTGCCCCAACCATGATCATTTTGGTTCCATAGCAAGTACTGGAGAAAAAAAACTTGTGAAAATGTGAAACCCCATGAACCCTCACACCTAACCTGCTCGTCTCTAAAATAGGTAGGAAAAAATGGTGATCATCTGGAGAAAACTGAAGTGGACACGGGGGGAAAAAACCTGCAAACTCCACACAGACAGGAACTCTTAGTTTAACCCAGGTCCCTGGAGCTGTGAGGCAGCAGAGAACACTGCATCACAGTGCCATTGAACAATATGTATTTACAAGAAATATGTTGCTCAATTAGTGCAGCACAGTGGCGCAGTGGCTAGAATTGCTGCCTTGCAGCACTGGGGCCCTGGGTTCAATGTTCATGTGAGTTTCCTCCAGGTGCTCCATTTTCTTTCCACAGTCCACAGACATACTGGTAGGTTCTTTGGCTCCTGGAAGAATTTGCCCTGGTCTGAGTGTGTGCACGTCTGTGTTTGTATTAGTTTGCCCTGTGTCCGATCCAAGGTGTACCCTGCCTTGTGCCCGTTGCTTGCCACTATGGGGCTCTGCCTCCCCTGTGGCCCTAAATTGGAAGAAGCAGTTATGGATGAACGCATGGAAGTTGATTAATTCTGTTTGAAACTGGTCAACAAACACACAAAATCAAAACTCCATAATTGATCATTAATTCAATGTC